ATGTGACGACACCGACCGCAAGATGGCTCACTTCATGAGAGATGTCGGAGTACATCTGAGTTGGGTCGGTGGGCTGCTAGCATGACGTTCTCGGGGATTCTACCACCGACCTATTATCCTCCCCAGATCGAGAGAACACCACAAGCAAAGCGTCTGGCCAATGAGAAATTGGCTGAGATGGGCCATGTTGGGATCTTCGAGATCGTCATGGGCTGATGTTCTCTTTGGTTATTATCCTCTCGGTTGTTGCATCTTCTATCGATTTTGTGCCGTGTACTACCACAGGTGTGGCCATTCTTGGTTCATGTATTCTGCTAATGACATGTTTTCTAGATGTGAAGAGGGATATTGTTGTCAATAAGGGAGCCTGGGATCTGTTCCTTTGGTTTGGTGTGTTGTTGATGTTGGCCTGGACAATATGCCTAGTTCCAATCATTGGATTGCGGGTTCATTCGTGTCAAGAAGAAATGAAACGTTCTATGAAAATGAGGGATCTCTCCAGGGGATACACCTCTGAATCATCTAAGCATATACAAATTGATTTCAATACAAAAATGCAGCCCCCAGGAAATGCCAGCCATGAAAGACCCGAAATGCTCCACTGTGTCGCAAATATCATCCTTGTGCAGCTGAAGATACTATGGAGCGATGGCGCGGTACTTTAGGGCATGTGGGGAAACCAGTCAAACGAACAGGAAATGCTATGGTGTTCCGAATATCATATTCGGAATATGTGTTTTTGGGAGTGTCATCTTTGGTTATACTGAGAAATAGTTTCGGTATGTTACATTGAGTAGTTGGAGAATCCATCTGATGTTGTTGTTGTGATGTGGAGCTGGTCTCCACTACGGAACGTATCTAGCGGTATCAGTTCTCTTCGCGCTAGTACTGGATGGCGAGGGTAGATGTAGATGTCGGGATTGTTGCCTTTGTTATTATCGTTCGAGGTTGCTTGATAATCAGTTTTAATTTTGTCTCTTTCATTGAGAGGTAATGCCAACGGAAGTGGTCAAGGGCGTCGAACCTAGTGGGTTACCTATGTCTGAGGAAGAGGTCGTTGGGTCTTCACCATCATCCACCAACTTGGCGACCGAATCGAAGGGTCACAAGCAGAGTACTTTCAAGACCAGATGGCAACAGCTGCGAGACTGGCACAAGAATGTTTGGCCGGGGGCTAACTTGCCTTCTTCTTGCTGGGATCTTCATATTGGGTTTGATACTGTGGTGGATCGTTCCGCCAGGACTTGGCTCCAATACATGGGATCTCTTCATCGTCTTCTTATGTACTATCGTGGCCGCCGTCTTGGAGCCACTACCACTTGCTGGTGTTTGTATAGTCGCAATTGGTATTTGCTCAGTGACGGGAGTGTTGTCAACAGCTGAGATGCTGTCACGCTTTTCAAACTCTTCGGTTTGGCTCATCATCTTTGCTTACTTTATCTCTGCTGGTTTCGTAACCACTGGTTTAGGCAAGCGTATGTGCTTCATCGTTCTCAAGTATGTCGGGTCTACGACTATTGGCTTGGGTTATGGTATTTGTATCTGTGAGCTA